TTGACTTTAACTGAGATTGACTTGACTGAGCTGAGTGAGTGAGCTTTGGGTTGACTATGACTGAGATTGACTTGACTGAGCTTAACCTGACTGAGCTGAGTGAATGAGCTTGACTTGAGTTGACTTTGACTGAGATTGACTTGACTGAGCTTAACTTGACTGAGTTGAATGAATGAGCTTGACTTGACTTGACTTTGACTGAGATTGACTTGACTGAGCTTAACTTGACTGAGCTGAGTAAGTGAGCTTTGAGTTGACTTTAACTGAGGTTGACTTGACTGAGTTGAGTGAGTGAGCTATGAGTTGACATTGACTGAGATTGACTTGACTGAGCTTAACTTGACTGAGCTGAGTAAGTGAGCTTGACTTGACTTGACTTTGACTGAGATTGACTTGACTGAGCTTAACTTGACTGAGCTGATTAAGTGAGCTTTGAGTTGACTTTAACTGAGATTGACTTGACTGAGCTGAGTGAGTGAGCTTTGGGTTGACTATGACTGAGATTGACTTGACTGAGCTTAACTTGACTGAGCTGAGTGAATGAGCTTGACTTTACTTGACTTTGACAGAGATTGACTTGACTGAGCTGAGTAAGTGAGCTTTGAGTTGTTCACTTTATAATCTGACTGAGCTGAGTGAATGAGCTTGACTTGACTTGACTTTGACTGAGATTGACTTGACTGAGATTGACTTGACTGAGCTGAGTAATTGAGCTTGACTTGACTGTGAGCGAGCTTTACTTGAGCGGGCTAAGTTGACCGAGCTGAGTGAGTGAGCTTTGAGTTGACTTAGACTGAGAATGACTTGACTGAGCTTAACTTGACTGAGCTGAGTAATTGAGCTATGAGTTGACTTTGACTGAGATTGACTTGACTGAGCTGAGTGAGTGAGCTTTGGGTTGACTGTGACTGAGATCGACGTGACTGAGCTGAGTAAGTGAGCTATGAGTTGACTTTGACTGAGAATGACTTGACTGAGCTTAACTTGACTGAGCTGAGTAAGTGAGCTTTGAGTTGATTTTGACTGAGAATGACTTGACTGAGCTGAGTGAGTGAGCTGACTGACTACTTGACTTTGACTGAGTGAGCTAAGCGGGGTGGATGAGCTTGACTTGACTTGAGCTAAGCGACTAAGCTTGGTTTTTTTTTACTGAGCCGACTAGCGTTGACTTAGATTGACGTAAGGCTAAGCATAAGGTAGTTGACTTGACTGAGCGAAAATTTTTCAAGTTTTTGACTTAGACAGAGGTGACTAAGTGAATTAACTGTGAGTTTGATTGACCTAAGCTAAGCATAAGGTAGTTGACTTGATTGAGCTGAGGGGGCGAAAAATTTTCAAGTTTTTTTCGTTTGAGAATGCGTCCATAACTTGGAGGGGGACTTAGGCTTAGGCTTAGGCTTAGGCTTAGGCTTAGGCTTAGGCTTA